CAATTTATTACCAACAATTCTAAGTCTCGATCAAAGCATATTTTCTACAAAAATAGCGTGGTGTACTTTAGCATTGCGCATTCACGAATCACGATATACCTACATCATTATAACATTATTCGGGACATTGCAAATTGTTATTGTTATTTGTTCCGTAAAACATGTGTTCGACGTTTGGAACATGTATTTTGTGGAACAAAAGTCCATTGGAACTAGTGTTTTGGGGAACTAAAGTCTTTTGGGACAATTATTTTGTGGATCTTAAAAAACCTAAATTATATCTTTTTTGGAACAAAAGAAATTTTTTTCAGCTACTATTTATAGCCGTGGTTTCCTACGTTTCCTGTGCGGTGCGCGATGCGCGTTTGCGCGATCACATTTGCGTGATGCGTGATGGAAGTGTTTTGCTAGGATGCGTGTTTACGACTGCGTGATTTGGAGTTTAGAAAATTGTCGTCATTTGGTGTTTAGTATTACATCAAAATGGACGTGGTTATGCTTTTTATTATTTTGAAGGATGAAGCAGATGATTCCGTTATGAAAATGATAAAATGTTTAGTCAACCGAGCAGGGAGGGTTGTTTCAGTACTTTAATTCAAAGGCGCCAAATTGACAATAATTGTCCTCTTTAATTTAAAAAAAACTGCACGACGATTGAATAAGTAATTTGAGAGTTCATTCCGAACAAAATAAAGCGACTTCATTTTAAATAGTATTAATGAATAGATAATTTATAACATAACTATTTGTTAGGTTACAAGTCATACCAGTACTGGGCATCACGAAAAACAATGTCTAGGGCCAAAATTTGATCCTGACCTGGCTAAACTTCTCACCTACAGAGTATTTTACAGATTGACTGTATTTTTCTTTTTAAGTTACTTCCATGCTACGTGCCATAGCCAATAGTTTTCCACAACTCTTCTGTACGCTTAATAATAATGTGAACAATAATTAGAATGACATGTATAAAAAAAATGTCGGGATATACAGCTAAAAATGGATGATAACCTAGCTGTTTTACGATGCCCGGTTTTTGATTTTACGCCTTTTTACATACAAAAAAAAAACATCAAGTGTAAGGTTTTCGATTTACTGTATTTATTTTATTAACATTTTCAAAAACAAAAATAAAATTGTCTAGGCAACGCTAGCCGAAGAGGCACTTTATTTTTCTATATAAACAACTCCGCATCGCATATTTTTGTTATTATAGCAATTTAATCGTGTGAATAGAAAATATTTGTTTTTGAAAGTGTTGTTGAAAATGTCGAACGAATTTTTGATTGGAATGGCGTTTGGTGCGATGGGAGTTGCCAGCATAGTTGGTTGTGTAATGTCACACTACAGACTAATACCTGAATATGAATATGAGGAGCAGTTAACGGCAATGGACTTGGAGGTAAATAAAATATTATACATTTATTATATTATGATTTAATAGCTTGGCTTATTTTACTTACTTATCGCAGTTTTGGGATAGAAAATGGGTGGAATGGATATGAGGGTGACTAAATCTGTATTATAATATAATTCAGTACCTAATAATTTTTTGTTATCAAGGCCGTAGCCAGAAAAATATTTGGGGGGGGGGGAGTTAATCTTAATTAAGATTAGATACTGTAGGTATTATGTGAGCTAAACATTAGGTTTTACAAAAGTACATTAAGATTAGTTATCTCTTATCTAACACAATATAAATATAAAATATACCGTTAATCCGTTTTATTTTTTTGTGTTGTAATCACAGTGACACGTATCAAATATAATAGGCATTTAAAACTATTCAATATTATTTAAAAAAAAAAAAAAATCGGGGGGGGGGGGTCTGAACCCCCCTGGCTACGGCCTTGTTTGTTATAGTTTAATTTAGTTAGTTGGTCAACAGTTGGCATTCTTAGATCATTGTGCAGGGTCTCATTTGTTACGTACCAAGGTGCTGAGGCTATTAGCCGAAGAGTGATGGACTGGGAAGCTTGTATAGTGCGGACTTGAGAAGGTTTGGCACACCTCCAGATTTGTATACCGTATGGGTAGAGATTTGTACAATGTGGACTTTGTGTGTATTGATAGTTTAGATCTGAGAATCGGCCTAAGTAGATGAAGGCGGTTGTTAAGGATTCTACGTTTGGACTTTAAATGCGGTCCCCATGTCAATATTTTGTCAAGTAAAATTTCCAAATATTTTACCTGATTCGATGTAGGAATCTCGACTCCTTGAAGTTGAAGCGAGGGGAGGTTATTTTTTCGCAGTGTAAATGGTACATAGAAAACGGTTCTTAAAAGTTTCTTAAAATTACCCATAAATAATATTTTTAAATTAAAATAAAATAACTTGTTATTTTTTGTCTAACTATCTAATTTAATCCAAAATTTGAACATTGAATGCTTAAAAAAATCTTGCGTATGCAACATTATTAATATTTAATAATAAAAATAAAATAAAATATTATAAAATTAATATTTTAAAATAGCTATAAGAACAACTTACAAGTTAGGTACAAGAAATTTTGTTTTCAAGCCTTTTGACTAAGTGACCATTTTTTCTTTTGACATTTATAATCTTTTTATGTTTGTATTATAATTTGATTACATTCTATAGTATTTTTATATTATACTTATTTTTCCTTTATAAAAATGTGGTTGTATGTATTATTGAAAATGACTTATAATTTTCTAACTAATTTGTCATAGTAAAGATGTGTTTTAAAATAGCTTAAAATGAGTTTAAATATTTTGAAATCGCCTTTGAGTGTAGATAGGTAATGATAATTTAAGGTACCTACCCATGTAGGTAAAATTATGAGTTCCTACAGTTAATACTTTTTAAACAACAACAAAACCACTTTTGTTATTTTATGTAAAATATACATTTCATAAGAATTTGAACTTCAAATGTTCATAAACAATAGTTGAGGATTTACTCTTAATTTTTGTTTCCAATTGCAAACACCACCTTATCAAATAAAATCATTACAAAAATATTATTTATTTTGTAATACAATTTTGACATTAAAGATACATAGGTATGTTTTTCTTTGTGAGCATGTAAAGTTCAGTTTTTGACAAAATGTATCAAAACTATAAACACTTTCATATTCTCATCATATAGGTTGAAAATTAAAAAAATATGACATGTTCAAATTGTATAGCTATGAATTATGTTATGGGCAATGTGTACATTGCCCATGCCCGGGCAATGCAAACCACACATTTTTTTTTAACCAACTAATATCAATTTTTATAATTATTAATTTAATTCATGTACCTAAATATTACAAATAATTTGATGGAATAGCAAAAAAAAAATTAACAAGTATCATCATATTATTTTTATAATATATTATAATTTTATTATTACCTATTTATTTGAACAAGATTAAGTACAACACTTAATTTTTAAACAGGCAGTGCGATAAGGAACAAAAATAAGTTTATACAGTATTTCAAAAAATTCATAGTTTATTGTATTATGATACATGAATAAAACTAATACTATATATTGGTAGTAATAATAAAAAATAATATTAGTTGGTTAAAAAAAAATGTGTGGTTTACATTGCCCGGTATTCCACATTACCCGTAACATATATGAGTGTGTGTGTGTTCCAAAATTGTAACGTCCAGTTTTGTCCAGTCCAGAATCATGTTTTTTTTATAAAATAACTTTGTAATTATTCTAACGATATATTAATGAAATGAATCGTACTAAAGTTTGCAATCAATGAACCTAAAATAAATAATAATAATACTTTCTGTAAATCCTACACCGAAGCATTATTACTTATGTTAGTTATGACATTTATAAATATATTTATTATCATTCGGTTATTTCTGAAAAATATATTAATATACTCCAAGTATATTTAGATACCTGATCATGAACAATGATTTTGTAAATCTTGTACAATTGTTGACAAATATTTGGCAAAAGTTTGTGTTTAATTGAAAACAAAATTATGAAGCACATAATGAAGTTTGTCAAACATTTAATTGATGTTTGCAAGTGTAAATACAATTTTATAGGAATATTGTACAATAATTAAAAAAATTAGCAAATATTTGACAGATAACATTTAAATGTTACAATGTTTTCTGGGCAATTAATTTTAAAATGCATTCTGTCAACGCACGCCAGTGGCCCTAGATATAGTATGACTGACAATGTGATACCTGATTGTTTAATTAAATTATTTACACAGTTTTAATCATAAATGCATTATGAAATATATACATCCACATATTTATGAACCATAATGCTTAATTTTGAGCTATATACAATTTATAACAATTCATTTTTAAATATATTGCAGATGTTTTTTGAGAAAAAAACATGAATGCCAATTTTATGTCACAAGGGTTGATTTAGCAACTGATACGACAATTTTGCAATTTTGTAATCATAATTCACTTCTGAAAACACACAGGAAAGAGTAAATTTTTACACGAGTGTCTTGATAACAACAAATTTATATTTAAGTGTTATTATAACATATAATCAAACATAGTAAAATATTTAATACCTATTATGGTATATAGTAAGCACAAAAATTATAACTCTATATAATAATCAATGACTATTATTTTATTATTTATAACCAATGTAATACTTAAACAAAACAATTTTAAATTTTTGTGAGCCGATATAAAATTCATGAGCTTCCTTATGTGAATGGAAAAATGACACTACAAACTTTCCCTGTCTTAAGGAATCTATCGACTTAACTTTTATTGAAAACATTCCTGTATTTTCGACTCTATTTAAGAATAGGAACAGGAACAAATACATTTTTTATATATTTGATAGAAATTATGTTGATGAATAATATTTTTTTGGGACAATCACCTACTACAAATAATATGAAGTAAATGGTTGCACATCACGATCTAATATTTTTAAGGAAGTTATAAGGTTTTTTACAATTGATCGGTGATAATAAAACAATCTTGTTTATAAATTTAATGTGTTATACCTAGGTAAATAATAATCAAAACCAACCAACAAAAAATGTTATAACCTAAAAATATATTTTTAATTTAAATACAAACATTAAAAATTGAGTCATGTTTTGAAGACGTTTTGTTCTGGGTGCTTCAATTGCTTTTTAATTTTTTTGGAAAACAACGTCAAGTCTTTAGCTCTGTAAATGAATTACATAGATTAAGTTAAGATGATTAAATTATATGTGCTAATGTTATTTACAGTTGGGCATTCTGTTTTTTTTGGCATCCTTTTCTATGTTTCTTAACAGGGGCAATTTGTTTATCCCCATTATTTGTTCTTCCGACTGGCCAATCCAGTACTTTTTGGTTGCTCATTTCAACATCACCATGATTGTCGTCGTCATCATCACTTTCATCATTTTTATTAGACTTTTTCTTCCTCTTTTTCAACTTTTCCTGCGCCACCCCAAGTTCTGGACAAGGAAAGAGTAGTTATTTTAAATAAAATAGAATAAATTATATATAATACAATTTTTAAGCCTAAAACAACAAACTTTTTATTAGGAATGCATGTTTCAAGTACCGCTTTGCGTCCTTTTTCAGTTTTAGAGATTCACCACCGCCACAAGATTTGACACTCTTCATCACGGAACAGACGCTCATCTTGTCGTCGTCTCTCTTCATTTGCATTAGCTCTTCAGCCAATTCCAAGTAATTCGTTTGTTGAGATTGTTCTTCATTTCCACCGTCGACATTCGTCGACCCTTCTGCGGCTTTGGCTAATTTTTTCTTGTACCTACGTACTTTTCCCATACTGAATTTTGGAACAACAATATTTAGATTAAGAAAAACTGTTACGACTTTAGTGTAGTGTAATAACACCAGACGCTTCGAGACCGTTCACAAATTTTTAAAATCAAACAGTCCAGTTGTAGTTGTTCAACTGTGGCGTCGCCTATCAAATCTAGTTACAAGATAAGATGTGAAATTCACTCCACGAGGGCTAGAGATAAGGAAGCCAAACCGCGGCTGGCCGCCTGCGCAAAAATTGGTTCTATAAAATATCGCACACTAATTTCTCCACCAGACTGCGTGGTGGTCAAATCCGAGGCTGGCTCGGAGTATAACTAACTCGCATTAGATAGAGACATCTTGACTTTATAGTTTATTATTTTTAAAAATTTATAATTAAAAAACTAAAAATCGTATTGAAATTATAATTACATTATTTTGAACATAAGGTATAACATGGTAGCACTGGAATTCGGTTATTCACAATTAGATACATTTTAAATGGTATTTATGTAATAAACGTCTATAAATATTGGGTTATATATGTCAAATTGCCTTACTTGAAACTTGAAAGCACATATTTCCACAGTAATATTCAATGTAATAATAACTAGGTACTTATAAAAAACAATAATTTTATTTAAATAAACATTTTTATAAAATTAATAAATATTTATTGATTGGTAGGTAGTTTCTGTTTCAATTAGTTTCTGATTTTGTTGTAAAAAATATTATGTAGAAATGAAAAAAATTGTTTTTCCATACTTTGATTAATAAAATACATATTTTACGATTTGTTATTGCATATAAATCCTAGCCCTGATAAACCTATACTATCTACCAATATAACTAAATTATGTTCTTTTCAATATTTTTTTAATTTGTTTTCAAATAAAATAATTAATGATTATACAATATACATACTATGCGAAAACAAGAATATTTTGAAAAATATTCTTAAGCTCACTATATTATAACTGATTCATTAAAATGTGTTTAGTGATTATTCAAGCAACCCGACATAAGCATTTTTGGATCTTCATAAAATATTTATTACTACACGCATTATAAAATGTTGACTCTTTTTAAGCTATTATACCTATGTATATGTTTTTTTAAACGGCTGTCGATATAAAAACAATTTGAAGATCTAATGTTAAGTTCTCTATGAATTGTTATACCTAATAAGAGTTTAAAAATATTAAAGATTTTACAATACAAGGATATATTTTTTTAAACACATAAAACTAAAATGTTGACAACATTCATGAAAGCCCCAGGCAAGACACACAAACAGCTTTATAGTAGATCGACACGGGATGGCGAGCTGGATTTGTACTCAATGGTTACTGATCATCTCCATACGTCCCCACGATCGGCCCCGCGGGCGGGCGAGCGCAATCGCCGTCGCGTTTGTTCACAGAGAAGATAATCTAGAGTACTGGGCGTGCGACTGTGACCAAGGAGATATCAATTAAAATGTGATTCAAGTATAAATGTACTTACTACTTCCATATAATTTTAATTTTAATTCATAATGTTTATTGATCAAAAAAAGTTGAACTTCCTTCACACCATTTAAAATTCCTGAGCACGACTCCGCTACCTATGTTAAGATATACCAGATTTTTTGTAGGTTCGTAGTTTTTGCATTGGTCGTAAAACTATCTACTAGGCGTAGGTATTTAACTATACTATAGGTAAATAGAATATTATGTATTTTATTCAGTTAAGTATAAATTATTATTAATATATATCTTATAACAAGTGATATTATATCTAGGCATATAATATTATATTTAAGCCCGGAAAGTTTACAAAATATACTCCTCGTCTTCATATCCAAGTCGTCAACTATAACGGTGTAGATATACTGTGCAGATATACATACATAATATTATAATTGTGTATATTATAGTACCTATATGTAAATATCACATTGGCGTCAAAATAATATAGACGAGGTATACATTCAAAATATTGAAAAATGAAAAGTGTACTATATAAGTAATAACATAATATTATAATCGTACATAATAAAAATATAATAATATAGTACTGTTTGATTAGTTTGTATATAATAATAATTTTAAATAAAAAATGTTATATATGGCATTCCTTTAACAATATCATAAATTCATAGCATAATATATAGGTTGGTCGTAGTGGGTTTAATACACAATATAATATAACTTTTTTTATTGATGTATACTATAAATAATATATATATATAACAAGAAAATATGATAGTATAAACTCGACCCTGCAATAGGTGGAATAAAAAGATTCATTGTAAATTCGGCCCAAAAAATTTGGAACTGTTTCCACGTTAAATTTTACTATGTATCGGGGCCAAGCTTACAATAATGTTGACCTTTTTACAATTTACTATTGCTCGGAGCCAAATTTACAACCAACCGTATAGTATTATATTATAATAATATGAGTACCAACTATATAATTTATGAGTGTAAATTATACATACAAATAATAATAATATCATGAAAATTATTAATATACGTCGTGTTAGTGTATAAGATGTTTGCTTTATAATGATTATTATATTATAATATATTATTTATACATAGGTAGGTCTTAGACATATATATGTATATATATATGTAAACGACTGTCGACGATGATGCAAATGGTCGTCCAAGAAGAAATGACAATATATTATATAATAATGAACAACTACGATATTGTACGGTGTGGAGGGGCGGGGGCGAATTTCCGTCATTTGATTTTACACGCGTTGTCGAGGTACTTGTGTAGACTCGCGGCGATCGCCTGTTTGTCGCGCCCGCTGCCGCCACTACGGTTGAAGTACTTCTGCTGCAGGTGCTGTTGCTGTTGCTGCTGTTGGTGGTGGTCTTTGCCGCGGGCGCCGCCGGAAGTGCTGCAGCTCCCGTTGGTGACCGCCGGGCCGTACTTGCTCAAGCCCCGGAAGTATTCGCGGCGCAAGTCCGCGGCCGTCTTGGGCTTGGCGGGCGGCGTCGCTACCACCGTGAGTGTGATGGACGAGTCGTTGACGGATATCTCGTCGCAGCTGTAACTCGAATCGAAGTTGCTTCCGTGGCCAGTCGGCGTGTCCGGCTTGCGAGACGCGTCGCCAGTTGTTTCCGCTTTGGCCGCGGTGGCGGCGATCTTGTACGACAGCTCTGACGACGGCGAGTTCTTGACGCTGCCCGACTTCCGGCCACCGTTCATCCGGGGCAGTGAGTTGTATCCGGACGAGCCGCTCGACGGGTACGCCTTTTTGGTCGCGGCCGGCATATTGTCCGTGTGGCAGCCGCCGCAACCGTCTACACCGCTGCTGCAGGCCAACAGCGATGCACCCGGAGTGGGAGTGATGGCACGCGATTTCCTCGGCAGCGTCGCGCTCCTCGTCAACCTTGCGGCCGACCACTGTTGTTTCGTCTTGCAGTCTTCCTCGTCCTGCGGGAAAAATTGTATATTTTAATGTTTTAAAGCAATACCTATGGTTTATACAGTTTGCTATATGTGGGACGGTCCTCATTACAGCCTTTTAGTCCTCGCTCTTCATTTATAATACATACACACTATAATAATGTAACGTTGTACACATCGTTAAATGCGTATATTTTACTGCAGGGAGGGACATACAATTAGGAAAAATAATATATTTGTACTAAAACTAAAACGTGAAATGGTTTTTAATGTGATCATATTTTAATAAACAAAATTAACAAAGTTTGCAATCCGATACTTTTATCTGTTTATAAATGTATTTTTCAAAAATGCTAAGCCACACAATGTCCACTACTATTTACTATGTCCATAAAGTTGGACTTCAACTTAATTCAAGGATTTTGAAATCCATGCTCAGAGTTATCAAGTAGTTTGCAAGAGTTTACAAGGTTACTTTTAGAACTTTTAAATTGTAAATAATTGTTTATATTTATCGGAGACTAGGACAAAGAAAGGCCAACATCAAGCAGCCCTTCAATGTTGACCCAGAAAGTCCTACTTACCTACTACTAACGCAAGTCACTGTCGTAAATTTTGTGATTTTAACGGAAAAGCTTGTAAAAGTTGCGTTTTTTAGGCGCTTCGTCTGCACAACGACGAAAAAACAAAATAGTTGTGGCTTTCATTTGAAATGTCTTGAAAATATACATTTTTTAGATTTCAAGCGATTTTCAGGGGCCAGGAATACGTCGGCTAATTGGAATACAATAACAATTTTCTTTTTTTTTCCTTAACACTACATGAAAACTCATATTATGTCTCACTTTTTTGACATAACAATACTAACAGGTATTGGTATAGACATCACGATTTTACAACATAGAAACACAAGTACTTATTATTTCGTTATTTCGTTAGTCAATCTAAGCGTCAACTGATTCTGATTACGTAAGTAACATTCGCATTTGAATTGAGTTAATGCTCTCAGAAAGTCAGAACACCCTGTATGTGCAGTAAGACAGTACATGGCTGTCTTGAATTTTTAAACATTCGTTTATGTTGAAATATTTTGGTGTGTTGATATATTTACCATACCTATACACCATTGTACATTTGTACCAACGTCACTAGGTACCCACTACACATACCTATTACGTTTATATTTATGACGTACCTACTGCAGTAGGTATATGTCACTGTAGTAGATAAAACTTGAAATGTGGAATGACTTGCATGCCATAAAAAAAATTATTACATCTATGAACACGGCCTCTCCCTCTGACGATTCTTAGTTCTGACACAACAAAACTAATGGAGCTGCCTACGAACGCTCTTTGGGATGATATTCTAATCGTATATAATAACGGGAATATTCTTATGATTCGGCTCTTCTTATTACTCATGGTGATTCAAAATATTATTCAATTTAAAAATTATGTACCTAGCTACTAATCGCTAACTTCTGATATCACAGTATTATTTACTCTAGGTACTATATAGTCATACATATAGATGTGAAATTTCAAATAGACTACTATAATTGTATAACAACAATGTAATGGCATTGATATTGAAAATATGTTTAGACCATGTGTACTATAATAATAATTGTTCAAGCTTCTCCAGTCCTGACCGTATCAGTGTGTAATATAATGTATAAGACATACTGGACATACTGGGTACCTACTAAAACTTTTAATTTTTACCAACAAATTTTAAATACAAATTAATTAGGAAATGTTGACGTCCAATGCACCCGAAGACAATTATTATTATCAATTAGAAATTATTA